GGGGGATAGGTGGGATGCAAAGCCTTCCCTCCTTGGGATACAGGAGCCTGGATTGGCTCCGACCTGCCCTTTTATCAGGCCTGGTGCTGTTATTGGGGTGGGTCTGGTGGCACAGCCCTAAGAGGCCCCCCAACCCACCCCCAAACCCCCCCTCCCAGGGGAGGTGTTGCCTGTCCTGGTGCTGGTCTCTGGGACGTGGCTCCTGCCAGGGCTTTGCTGCTGCCATGGGTGAATGCAGGGGTTCTCTGTCTGGGAAGGAGACAGGAGTGGATCTGAACCATCCCTTTCTCACTGCGCTCATCTTTCCAAGGACAGGCCCTCGATTGAGCCTTCCTGAGGTGCAGAACCGAGCAGCTTTCCCTGCTTCCTAGGGCAGCAGCAGTCTGCAGAAAAGGTTGATGTGGCCCCGAGAGAGAAAGAAAGATTTCTGTCTCCAAATCTGTTTGATTTTCAGCTGCGCGTTTCCTCGGGCAGATTGTCACGTCTCACATGACAGTCATCAAACAGCAAACTCTACCACCAAAAACTTCCCATGCTGCACATGTGACCTGGAGCCAAGACAAACCACAGCAGCAGCTGATGGCTCAGTGTGTCACAGCTGCATGATCCTTAACCTCCGGATCCTGAGTACAAGTGCTGCCAGGGTTCCCTGTCTCAGCTCGCTGTTTTCTCTTTGCAGAGCGTTTTTCTGGCTGGTGTCACTGCTCCTGGCCTCTCTCATCTGGTTCATTTCGGTCCATCTCAGCGACCAGGGCAATGCCAGACTTCAGTACGGCCTCCTCGTCTTTGGGGCCGCTGTCTCTGTCCTGCTGCAGGAGGCTTTCAGATTTGCCTACTTCAAGCTGCTCAAGTAAGGACCCGTCCTTGGGTAGCACTCCCTGCTCCCTCACCCTGGATCCTTTCAAGCTACGTACTGAGTGACTTTCTGGTATCTGTGGTCACTGCTGAGCTCTGATTTTTATCCACAAGTTTCTTCCTCCTTAGACCCCACACTGGAGCTGTTCTCCTTCACTCCAGACTTATTTATAACCACCTCTTCCCGTCCTGTTTGACACAGCTCCCTTTGCAGGGCAGATCCCCACGCAGGCCCTGTTTCTCCCCACCTCCTCACGTTTTTCCTTCTGCCCAAGCAGGAAAGCAGATGAAGGCCTGGCGACAATCAGCGAGGACGGCCGGTCGCCCATCTCTCTCAAGCAGATGGCATACGGTGAGCACAGAACCAAGCAGGCATCAGGTAGGCACAGCATACAGCACAGTCACAGCTGATGTCCTTGTCCCCTCTGCAGTGTCAGGTCTGTCCTTTGGCATCATCAGTGGTGTGTTCTCAGTCATTAATATCCTGGCAGACTCCATCGGGCCGGGCATCGTTGGGATCCATGGGGACTCACCGTATTACTTCATCACCTCGGGTGAGGCTGGGGGTTGGCTTGGTCCTGCCCCACCAAAGCAGGGAGGCATGGGGGGCTCTGAGGTGTTCTGTGTCATCCTCTTCCCACAGCATTCCTTACCATGGCTGTTGTTTTGCTCCATACCTTCTGGGGAGTGATTTTCTTCGACGCTTGTGAAAAACGCCGCTATTGGTGCTTGGGGCTGGTTGTCATCAGTCACCTCGTTACATCGGGGCTGGTGAGTTTGGTACACTGGAGCAGCTTTAACTGTCCCCCGGTTAAAGCAGACATCATCATATGCCCATGTGGGGGCAGTGAGGGGATTGTAGGGACTCCCACTGGGGTCTCAAGCTCCCTCTCTGCCACAGAGGCGTAGGGCAAGTCCTGTCCTTTTCGTGCACCTCGTGGTCAAGGCAGCCTGTTCTGCTGTGCCTTGGGGGATGTGGGATTTAAGCAGGGTTAGTGGAGGGCTGCGGGTCAGCTGGAGGATTATTTGCTAAGCCCCTGGTGGGAAACTTGTAAAAAGGAATTTTAGCCAGGCTTACTGGAGCACTGCCATGTTTGGAGGCAGCTACATAAAAGGAGGGCTCCCCTTCCCACATACTCTGCAGCCATTTCACAAGGGCCTTGGAGGTACCTGGTGTGGCTGGCAGGTGGTTCTCTTGTTCTCTGTAACTTTTCTCTGTCTCTGCAGACATTCCTGAACCCCTGGTACGTGGCCAGCCTGGTCCCCATTTACATCATCACCTTCTGTATGGGCATCTGGGCCTTCTTCACAGCTGGAGGCTCCTTCCACAACATCCTCAAGTGCCTCTCCTGTAAGAAGTGGGCTGGGCAGGGAGGGGCATCTGATATGGGGGTGACACTACAGCCAAATGGGGTTGTTTGAGGTCTGATTTTTGTGTGGAGCCAGGAGCTGGACTCAGTGATCCTTACTGGTCCTTTCCAGCTCAGGATCTTGTATGGTTCTGTGCCCTGTGGGCATTTTGGTGGGTCGGCCTCAGCTGCCAGGGTGCAGGGAGGTCTGTGGGCTTTGGGTGTCTGCAGCATCAGCTGAGGGGATGTGGGAGGATGGGTGTCACTCAGACCTGCCTGCCTGTCCCCAAGCAGCAGCTGCATCTCCTGGCTTTTGGGGGACTTATGTCAAGCCACAAGCAAGCCCCCACCCCAAAACCTCTCCCTCTGTTGCTAAACACTCACCCTCTTCTTCCTTTCTTTCCACAGGCAAGCAGGAGGATGACAGCAGAGTGATGATGTACTCAGCACTGCAGGTGCCTTTTGAGGACTAAGCAGCGACGGCAGCCCTGCCCGCCTGCACTGCCTCGATACCCAAGTGCCCTGTTTTTGGCAGCTGGGAGATCTCAGTACTGCCTTCACTTATGCTGAGGCTGCGAGGCTCCAAGCGGTGCCAGGGCAGCCTGGGGAAGGTTTGTTCCTCTGGAGCTCCCGGACAGCCCTGCTGGGTTCAGCTCAGCCCCAGTGCAGCCCCACTGAACAACTCTCTCGCCCACCCTGACCTGGAGCTGTGGCACAAATTCTCCTCCAAATCCCATCCCTTCCCTGCCGCCCACTCTGGGCACCTTTTGGGGCAGTTTCTGCCTGGTGCCATGCTGTAGCCTCGTGGGTACCTCTGGCCATAGTGCTCCCGTTAGCTTCGTTAATGACTTTTCATTAGTCTTTTCTTACAGGGTCTCTCTGCAGGGTGAGTGCTGGGAGAAGATCCAGGTGCCCCTGGGGCTGCTGTGGTGCCCCCCCAGGCATGGGAGAGGACCCCCCTCCCTCACCTTCCCCAGTGAGGGGCTCTGGGCTGTGGCTCTGGGACCACCCCCCTCCCCAGTGTTCAATCCCATGCTGCCATTCCCCTTTTGTTTTTGGGATGATCGTTGTTGTTTTGGGGGCATGGAGCCGCCCCATAATCAGCAAGGGGTGGGGGGCTGCTCTGCCCTCCCCAGCTTGCTGCTCTCCCATTCTGTTTTATTGTTTTTTTCCAAGTGTCTGGGAGCTGCTGTGTGATCGGGGGAGGGAACGAGTCTTAAATTATTTTTTTGATTCAGAGTAAAACCCTTTTAATAGTGATGAGTGTTCATGGCACCGAGATTTTATGGGATGGGGTGAAGTGGGGAGGGGGAATGGGGTCAGTGCTCTGCAACCTGCTCTGCCAGCTGTGGGGTTGGAAAGGGGCTTTACTTCCAGTGGGGCCCCTTCTTTAGGGCTGAGCCCCACCACACTCTTCCTGGGGGGAGGGAGGCCTTCCTGGCTCAGGGTCGGTGGCTCTCATCTGAAGCCGCGCGCTGGGAGGAGGCCTTGAAAACGACGTCCTGCTCCTGTGTCCTCCGGGCGCTGCCTTACAGGAGAAGGGATGGACTGAGAGCCTCCGTGAGGATTTGGGGGGGATCCCAGTGCCCCCCAGCCCTCCCTTTTGGTAGTGAGGATTCCTCGGGGGGGAAGGGGGAGCTCTCACCGAAGCCGTTTGTTCACAAAGTGAACAGTGATGAAGAGGCCAAGGCAGCTGAGGACGGTGCCAAAAACGATGGCGATGACTTCACCTGTGTGACCCCACAGAGGGCTCAGGGCAGGCAGGGGGTGTCCCCACCCCCCAGAACTGCCGTGGTTGTGCTTTACCTGTTGAGTATCCCTGGGGACCTGCAAGAGAAGAGCCAACGCTGAGCTCCGAGGGTCTTTGTGGGGTCCCCTGCACCCATCTCAGAGCTCAGTTCTCACTGCTGGTGAAGGACGCCAGCACTGGACGCTGGTTGAGGTCCTGGGGGTCCCGAAAATTGTCCTCCAGGCGCTCAGCTGAGGGCTCATCGGCTGCTGTGGCGTACAGGGAACCCTGCAGCTGCTCCAGCTGCAACAGGAACGGGGTGGCTGCAACCTCTGTCCTCACCCCAACAACCCCAAAAGCCCCAAAGCTTTACCTGCGCCGTGCTGATGTAAACTGGCTGCTGGAAAACGGTCCAGAGCACGCTTTGCAAGCATGGTGGGGTGGTCAGGGACCCATTGTAGCGATAGTAGCGGTCCAGGCGCTTGGGCAGCAGCTCCTGCACGTTGAAGGAGGGGATGGACGTTGTCTGCCCTGCAGGGGACAGCAGCGTGGGGTTCCCCCTGCCTGCACCATCCCCTTTGTCTCCCATGCGCTGCCCTCTCGCTCGCGCAGCCGTCTCACCAGCATAGCGGACGCTGCCCAGATGGTTCAGGATGTTGGCGTAGGCGGCGTTGGGCTCATCGCCAACCTGGGGGGGATGAAGAGGGGCTCAGGACCGTGCTGTAGGGCTGGGGGTTGTTGGGGGGGGCCCTACCCCCCACCCTGTACCTCCAGCAGGATGCCGAGCACGGCCAGCCCGGCTGCGTGGTGCTGTGCCTCGCTGGCGTTGGCGTAGCGCTCCGCGTCGTAGTGCACCACGTGCATCTGCAGCACCGTGGGGCTGGGACCCCCAGCTGCGCCCTGTGCCCCACACCTTCCCCCAGCCCCACACCCTTCCCCTGTCCTGGGTCCATTCTGTATTGATTTCTGCATCTAGATCTGTTCCTGCGCCTGATTCCCTCACCTACACCCGTCCCCACACCCATTTCCATGCTGCTCCTTGCACCCAGACCTATTCTTGCACCCATTTCCCGTGCCCACACACGTTCCCATACCAATTCCCATGCCATTTCCCAGACCTAGAGCCATTCACCTACCCATTCCCTTGCTGATTCCTGCACCCAGAACCCTCCCTGTGCCCATTTCCCATACCCATTCCTACACCATTCCCCTGCCATTTCCCAGCCCCCATACCATTCCCATGCTGATCCCCACATTCAGACCCATTCCTGTGCCCATTTCCCTCACTTGGATACATTCCTGTACCTGTTCCCATACCATTTCCCACACCCAGACCCATTCCTGTGCCAGTTCCCATACCTTTTCCCACACCTCTACCCATTCCCATACCATTTCCCACACCCAAACCCATTCCCACACCTGTTCCCATACCATTTCCCACATCCATACCCATTCCTGAGCCCATTTCCCACACCCAAACCCATTCCCACACACCCCCCTATACCTCTGCGGGTGCCCGGTGCCCATTCAGGAGATGCTCAGCCCCCTCAGGATGACCACTGTGACCCCAGTGGAAGTGGAGCTGTGCAGCAGCAAAGCTTCTGGGCAACCCCTCCAGGTGTAGGGTGGGTGGCAGTGCCAGCACCACTGCAGGGAATAGCATGGGGGAAGGGGGGCTGAGCAGGGCTGTGACACGGAGACCCCCATCACCTTCCCCCCCCCCCAGATCCCATTCTCACCAGTGTGGCCATTGTTGGTGAGGCTGAAGGTGGGGACAAGGGGGTGGTCGTATCCCACGGGGCGGATGGGGGGCAGTGAGGGGTCAGGCAGCACCCACTGCGTTGTGATGTCAATGGGGGATTGGGATTGGCCCCCGCATGCTGGGTGTCCCTCAGCCCAGTGGTGCTGCCCATGGGGACCTGTGGGGTGACAGCATGGGGATCCATAGGGGCAACGCTCCCCAGCCCTATAACACACCTGGAGAACCACGTGGACCTAAATGCTGTTATTTTCCCCCAAAAGCCATTGTTTTGCTCCCCTAAAAACCGGCCCCGTGGGGACATTGGTGACGTTCCCAGCCTGGTGCCACCACTAATCTGGGGACATTTTTCCAGCTGGTGAAGCAGGGACAAAGGCAGCCGCTCAGACGACCTGCGCTGACCCCACAGCAGTGGCACCCGTGGGGTCCCCATCCCCACAAAGGGGTTTAGCGGGGATTTGGCCATGGATGGACCCTAATTGGATTTGGCAGCCGAAGCGGGGCCCTGTGCCTTATGTAAAGGAATACAATGGGCCCATTGGGGTCTTGGCATTGGGGGGGCTATGGGGGCCCTATCGTCCATCCGACAGCCTCCTACGGTGGGGGGGATGTTGGTTATGGGGGTGGTCGCCCACTGAGCACTTTCCCATTTAGGGGGACCCCTCCACTCTGTGGCAGCACTGGGGTCGGACCCTGGGTTGCAGTGAGGTGTTGGGAGGAGGAGGGCAGTGGGGAATTGGGGTGGGGGTGACCCCAGGTTCCATTGAGGTGTCTGGAGGAGGGCAATGGGGATTTGGGATGGGAATGAGGTGCTCTAAGTGAGGGCAATGGGGAATTGAAGTGGGGGTGACCCCGGGTTCCATTGAGGTGCATCGGGGGGGGGGCTCACCCCAGTGCTGCTGCACGGACCCCACTCACCCTCATACGTCCAATGGGGACCTGTGGAGGAAGTAGAGCTGTTGAGGGACTCTGGGGGGGATACAGGGCTTTGAGGGGGTCCCCCAACCCAGGGGATCCCCTAACCCTTCCCCATGGCCACGGGGAGGAGGGTGACATCAATGGGGGGGGCTGCGAATTGGGGTGAATTCCTGCAGAAATGGACAATGAGGGGGGCACTCACCAGCGGGCAGCGCAGGGCACAGAGCCCCCAGCAGCAGGAGGGCACGCAGCATGGCAGGGGGAGCTGCTGGGTGCTGCTGCCCGGCCTTAAATACCCCCCCATGGGAATTCCTCCCCCCCCACCCCCAACCCCCGGGGAGGGGGGGAATGGGGATGGGGAGGGATGGAGGAGGGGAGCTGGGAGTGGGGGGAGAGGGTGAGGGGTCCTGCAGGGA